ATAGAGAGCAATAATTTCAGGAAGTACTATCTGCATGGTCATATTACCAAAAAATCTTTAAAAATATGACCATGGGTAAATTTATTTAACCTCACAGTTCCAGGATTACCCTTATTTCTCTACAGAAAACCCCCTTCTAAGAGTATAGAAAGATGCATCTCACCTACACATGAGCAACAGAAAAAGATTGTGGTCAAATCCCATACAAAGCTACTGTAAGAAAAAGAATTATGAGCAGAAGAGCATTCCTACAGATAATAAATGTATTCCACAAGGACAGGCCCATAAAACATCTAAACACTGAAACAATATTTCCAAAACAGCTAAAAGAAATTATACCAACAGATGCTTTGAAACAATAGTAAGTAAAATCATTAGACAAAAAGATTTGAAAAGATGGCTTATGAAAGGAAAAAATATTTCAGGAGAAATAACTAAATAGAAGGGGAAAAAAGGGTGAATAAACACCATGGATAATATCATAAGAAAAATAGGGGATGGAAAGGTAGAAACTAAAGTCAGAAATGCAGAAAGAGATTTTTTTTTAAAAGATGCAAGGAAAAGGGATAGGTATAGAAGGTAGGCAAAGAAAGTCCAACATACAAACAAGTCCTTAAAGAAGAAATCCAAAGCAAGGGAAGAGAACAGATACTAAAAACAGAACCCCCTCCCTGAGATATGAGAGAAGATTTGACTTTGCATCTTGGAGAAGTACGCCACACACCTGGGAAAACCAGCCCAGAATAGTCAACATGCTCTAATAAAATTATTGGACTTTAAAGAGAAAGGAAAAACCCTATTGGTCATTCAGATAAAAAGAGTAGGTGCTTTATAAAGGCATCAGACTTTTCTACAGCAGCACTCTGTGCCAGGAGACAACTAAGAAACTTATTCAAGATTCCCAGAAAAAGAACCAAGGATTTTATATATAGTCAAGTATGAAAGCCACAGGTCAATTAAGAATGTACAAGAACCAGGGAAATAATATTTCCCTTGAGCCTTTATAGAGGAAAGTACTAGAAAGCAGGATACAGGCAACCCAACTGACTAGAGAAGTATAAACATAAAGGCCAGGGCTGAGCATTAAATGTATAACCACCTTAGAACTCACACTAATTAATCACTGTAAGGGAGATAATATTTAATGTTTGTATGTTCTGTTAATGCAAATACAATACAATATTAAAAATTAGGAGAGAACGGAATGTGTATATGAAAAGTAGAACAAATTCACAGATTGCCTTAAATGTTCATTGGAAACAAATAGGTTTTTTGGGTTTTTTTTTTGTTTTTTTCAAATTAGATGCTAAAGGAAAGGGAAGGGAGAGAAATAGAGACTACTGGCTAATTTCAATATTTCTCCTGGTAGGAAACCAAAAGTCATTGCCCAGAAAGAGAAATACTAAGGGTATTGTATGAAGGTGCTGATGTAATGGTCACCTTCAGAATAACAATGACATGCTTTTTCCTTAAGAGGCAGAGGAGCTAGAGGGGGAAAAATCATTCAAGAACACATTCCCCTTTCCCATGAACCTCTAGATCCAACATGACCCCTCTCATTGCTTCTCCAGTCTTTGAAGGTATATCTCCTCCAGGCAGCCTTCTCTCACTGCCCTAGCATGTGCTAATCTTCCCCCTCAGCTCCCTCTTCTAGGTACCAGGTACCTTGTTCTCTGAATGTTTTTATCTTATCTCGCCTGCAGACAGAGATGGAGTGCTATATATAATGGTACAGTGCCTTTTTCAGAGTCTGGCACAGGGTTCTGCACAGAGAGCACTTAATAAATGGTGGTTCATCAGTAATTCAGGATTGGTTGAAAGATCTGGGCTTATAGTATTTGGGCTTTTCTAAGAGCTTAATGTTGCTATTTGTCAGAATTCTTTCCATTTGAAGTGACAGCAATCCCATTCAAACTGGCTTAAGAAAAAGAGGCCTCTGAAGTAGAAATGTTCTAGGGTAGGTCATATTTCAGGTATGGCTGGACCCAGTTGACTCAAGTCACATCACCAACATCAGTCTTTCTTTGCTCTCGACTCTGCTTCCCTCAGCGTTGGCTTTATTCTCAGTCAGGCTCTTCTCTTCCCTCGTGTTTAAGGATGTATCCCATTTGCAGTCGCTCCACTAAAAGTCCCAGAATTGAGTTTCATTGGCTTGGTTTGTGTCATGTGCTCATCCCTGGCCCAATCATTGTGGCCAAGAGAAGTGCTTTGGTTGGCCAAGCATGGCTCATGTGGCCGCCCCTGAAGCTATCTCTGAGCGGGGAAGAGGTAGTTTCCCAAAGGAAAATTGGGGTGCTGTTACCTGAAAAGGGGAGATGAATGCTGTGTGGGCAAAAATAACAGACATCTGTTGTAGCGTTGACGTGTTCAGTGAGCAAACTACAAGAAAAATTCCCTGCAAGTGAAAAATCGTGGTTTGGCGGCTCGTCTTTGAGACATGTGGATAGAAAACTCTCTTTGGTGTTTCCAAACTCAGAGTTTATTTACCGTGTTGGCAGGGGGTGGAGGGGGACCACTGGCCGTGGGGCCCAGTTTCGATGGAGAAACCAGCTTTCCCACACAGCTGGGGGCTTCTCTCACTGGCCTGGGAGGAGGCATCAAAAACAAGCTTGAGACTCCGGCGCCCTGAGCATCCCTGCCAGCATCTCCTGTGATCTGTTTCATTTCCTGAGTCAGCAGCTGTACTGTGTTTTGCTTTTCCATGTGTTTTACTGTCCTTTGAAATTTGAAGAAAGCACCAGTGCCCCCTGAACCTTGGAACTCTCCCTTTTCCAGGCAAAATACATGTATTTTCTCTCTCTTGAGGATTTGATATCCAACACAGGTAATTTGGGTAAAGGGAATCCCCTGAGGTTGGCAAATGGGGAAAAAGAGCAGGAAGACTTAAAAACATATCCATTTCTCTCCTAAATCTTTAAAACTTTTTTATTCCTATCAACATTGAAGCATCCTCAAGTTTCTACCATTTAAAATAAATCCTTCCTAAATTTCACTAACACTTCACTACCACCTTACCTTCCATCTCCCCTTCAAGGCAAAATTTCTTGAGAAAGTTCTTTTATATTCCCACTTTTATTTCCTCTTCATATTTCAACCCAGTCTGATCTGCTGGCACCCCCATTCCCCCTAATATACAAACTTCATAAAAGAGCTCTCCCCGAGTTCCTCATTTAGCTCCAAGACACTAAACCCAATGACCCTATGCTAGCAGTTAAAAAGTATTCATTTCTTAGGTTGGGAGGCAATGTTATGATCTTCAGTTTTAATAGAAATTTGTTGAATGATTTTTTAAAAATCAAGCAGCCCGGCCAGGCGTGGCTCAGCAGTTAAGCGTCGACCTAGGATCCAGGCGATCAGGGTTCAATTCCCGGTCAGGGCACATGCCCAGGTTGCGGGCTGCAGCCGATCAATGACTCTCTCATCATTGATGTTTCTCTCTCTCTCTCTCCCTCTCCTTTCCTCTCTCTGAAATCAATAAAGATATATTTTAAAAAATAAAAAAATAAAAAATAAAAATCAAGCAAACCCAGGGAAGAGTGACCTGTACCATGTAATCAGATCCCCAAGAAAGAGGAAATAGAAATATTTTGCCTGGAAAAGGGAGAGTTTTAGGGTCCAGGAGGCACTGGTACTTTCTTCAGATCTTTAAAGTGCTACCACATGAAAGAGATGGGTGTGGTCTGGGTGGCTCCAGGACTAGGAACACAGGAAGGGAGATTTCCTCTCATTTTAAGAATGTTCTAATGGTTAGAATGCATGAAAGAAGAAAGGGGGCTGCATTAGAAGATAGTGAACTGCCTGCCACTGACAGTCATCAAGTAGAAATTGTTCTATCAGAAGTACGCAGAAGAGAGTCCTGTGTTGGGTGGAAGGTTGCACCTGAAGACTTCTAAAATTCTGGCATTGGTTAAGCATGCTTCTCTAAAGGCTGGTCTCCTGGAACTTGTATCTGCCACTCCCAGCTGTGTGGTCATAAGCAAGTTACTCAACCTCTCTCTTCATCAGTTTTCTCATCTGTAAATGGGGGCAGGGGCTAATAAAAGCACCCCTCGAGTAGAGTTGCTGTGAATATTCAAGTGCAGTAATGCCTGCAGGACTCAGCACCAGTGCCTGGCATGTTGTGTTTAATAAATATTTGCTAGTAATTGTATTTAGTGCAAAGCCCTGTTTTCTAGATGGCACTCGATTCTGAAGCATCATTCTCATGGCTGCATTTGGGTTTTTAATTGTGGGTTTTCCTTGGTAATTTCTAAGAATTCAAAAAGAGTCCAGGAGAAAGTGTTAGAAAAGCCACTGTAATTCCTGTCGTGTGTGTCATGCTGTCCACAGCAGTTTTTGTCGGAGAGAAACTTAGAGAATGAGAAAGTAGTTTCCATATGTACCACATAAGAAACCTAAAACACATGCATTTTGAAAGGTTATAAAGATTTGGTTGGCCTTCCCTTCTCCTGCTGTTCCTTCCATGCCACCTCTTATGCTCAGGTCAGCTATACCAATGGGAAACCCTGAACAGAACCCTTAACAGTTTTCTCATGGCAGTCTTAACACAAAGGAGGAAAATCATTCATTTTGGTTTAAACATGCCGGTGAACATGCTCCAGGTCCCAGGAGCCTACACTCCATATTGCATGAATCCTGTCAACACTCCTGAAAAGGAAGTTCACTCTCTGCTTTGTTAAGGAGACTAAGCCTCAGAGAGGTTAAGTAACTTTTCCATGGTTACACAGCTGGAGGAGGGACCTAAACATCCAAGTTCTTAATATTCAGTGAACTATTATCCATAACCTCTGAAAAATTCTGAAATTAATTAAGGAGATTCATATTTAATCAAGTGGTCCCCAGGCATAGAGCTTCTAAAAAAACACATTCCTAAGAAGGTTAAGAAGTTTGCTTTCCCCTTTGTCTAGTCTCATTGGAGGGTGGGTGCAGATGGGGATTTCAGAGAACAGGGCACCTGCACTGACTTCTCTCTGTGCCAACTTCTTTGTGCCTTTCTGCAGGTCTGGGTAGATGCTGGAACGCAGATCTTTTTCTCCTATGCCATCTGCCTGGGTTGTCTGACTGCTCTGGGAAGTTATAACAATTATAACAACAACTGCTACAGGTGAGCATTTCCCGGGGCCCTGTCAGCTTTGCACCAAACCCTCAGGGCTCTCCACTCTGCCTAGCTAGCTCATGTTTGTCTAACCACCTTGCAGAGCCAGACAGATGGGCTGTTTCCCAGTCTCTTCCTGCCCCAGGGTCAAAGAGTAGCCATAGAGGAGCTAGGAAAATAACAATATGATCAGAGTGCATTCCAGGCTGGAAGCAAATCCACTCTGGAATCATACCCAGGCCTCCATCTTGCCCTTTTACCCAGGGTAGATAAGTGACTTGCCGAGGTCACATAGCTAATAAATGGCAAAGTTGGGATGTGAACCCAGGTCTTCTGACACCAAGGGCCTTGTTCTTCTGCCTTCTGTTCATAAACCTGCTTCCTGCCTCTCCTTATTTGACAGTAGGATCCTTTCCTACCCACCTGGAATGGCCAGTGTCCTGCTTGCCCCTCAGCCTTGTGAGCCTCTCTCCCTCGCCTTCTGCAGCTGGCCACACTCAGCACCAGGAGGGGGCTCACGGGGAGGTGAACTGAGACTGCCTGGCCTCCCAGGCCAGCAGTCTGAGTTCTGCTGCAAGGCTGAGACTCACAGAGGGCCAGGGACTTGCTAAGGCCACCCAGTAGTGCATTATGGAACAGAAATTTGCATCCTGGTCTTTAAGTCTAGGCTGTGGTCTGTTTGCTGAGGTTTCTGCACCCCTGAACTTAGTGCCTGGTCACAGTAGGTAAATATTCCAGGATGACTGGACAGCACATCTCTTCCTTAGAGTCCAGAAGCTCCTTACTCAGCTATAAACTCATGGAAAAATGGCAATGAAGCCATCTCTGGTCATAGGTTAGTTGAGAAAAGAAGGGTTTTTCAGCAAATGATTCTGAGACAGGATAATCAAGGTAGATACTCATACTTTGTCTCATACAGGCACCATAATAAGTGGCAGATTGATTAAAGAGTTAAATAGTTTTTAAAAGGAAACAATTCTAAAACTAGGAATAAAATTCCAGTGTGTCTGATTCCCCCCCCCACACACCAAGCAATTCTCGGACACCAGCTGGGTCTCCTTCAAGTCAACTCAATTTTGACACCATCTACCCAGAGCTAACATCAAATTCTACAGGTTAAGGGCTGAGTCTTACAAGACTGCCCCTCCCCCCTTCAGACACCAATTGGAAGTCCAGGTTGTCATCTGTGTTTCTGACTGACTGGCAACAGATTGGAGGTTCTAAGGATCCCCTGGGTTCAATTAATTTGTTAGAATGGCTCACAGAATTCAGAGGAAAATTCTACTCACTAGATTACTGGGTTCTTATAAAAGGATATAACTCGGAAACAGTCAGAAGGAAGAGATACATAGGGCAGGGTATGGGGGAGGGAGGTGGAGCTGCCATGCCCTCTCTGAGTGCCACTCTCCCTGAATCTCGGCCTGTTCATCAACTGGAAGCTCTCTGAATCCCCTCCTGGTGGTGGTGGTGGGGGGGTGGTGTGTGTGTGTGGGGGTGTGTGTGTGTGTGTGTCTCTCTCTCTCTCTCTCTCTCTTCATTACATAGCCATGATTGGTCCTCTCTCCCCTCCCTGGTAGTCAGGGGAAGGCATCCTCTCTCAAAGCTTTATCAACCCATTTGTTAAGTCAGCCATGTGCATTATGTGTCTACTAATTGTGAGGCACTGGGATTGGTACCTTGGGAGATACAGACAGCAATGCCACAGCCCAAGTCTATAGTTTATAACTTGGGGAAACTGAAGCACTGTGGAAGTGAAAGGTCTAACATGCAGAAAAGAAAAGCTTTCGTGGAATCCAATACACAACTAGGCAGCAAGTTGTGTTGTTCCTGTGGACCTTTGGGAAGACAGGTAATTAGGTCTGGCTGGACAGAAACATGCTAGAGAGATAGAACTCAGACCAGGTTGTCCATAAGATCCTTTCTACCTTCATGGTGTTTCTGGGGAGGTGGGTCTGGGGGATGAGAGGTAAAGCACTTTGTCAGCCACAATACAAAGTAATATAACCATGGACAGGAAGAGAAAGGATGTGGCACAGCAGGCCTCAAGTCCAGGTGGAGTGTGACCCCCTTAGGAAACTGGAGAGGGATGCTGTCTGCATGCAGCTATCAGCACATTAGCACCCAGCGTTCAGCACAGACCCTCTGTGCTGGGCACTGCGGAGATCACTTGGTCACTGTCCCTCACCTCCAGCTAGGCTGTCAGCTCACGAGGACATGGGCTGGATCTTCTTGTTTGCCACTGTCCCTCAAGCATAGCATAGCGCTGGCTGACATGTAAGGAAGCATGGAAGGGTCACATCGTTATACAGATGAGGAAACTGGGGCCCAAGGGTAAGTCACTTGCTTGTGTTCACATTGCCAATGTGGCTTTGAACCTGGGTCTTTCTGGTTCTTGTACCCTGACTCCTCCCTACCAGGAATGCCTAGTTATTTCACAGCTATAGCAGTTGGCATGGATTTGGCCAAGACTACCTTGTTGTCAGGCTGTCTCGGGGCAGTGGCAACTTTCTTCCCCACCGAGCAGGTGGGTGACTATGCTGGTCGCTGATGATCCCTTCTGCTTCCCCATCCAACAGCAGGTTTCTCCTCTCATCAGCTGAAGAAACTCAGTCCCCTAGGTGACATTGCCAAATCCAAAGGCTGGCTTTATTTCCTTTTCCAAATTGTTCCACAAGCAGGTCTTCTCAACTCAGAGGGAGTAAATTAGTACCCTCTCTTCTGGCAGCATAATGGCTTCTGGAGGTCTTCAAAGCTGGCTCAGCTGCTGCCAGCTTCACATAGCTTGTTACATAAGCTTTTCACCTAGAGGGTGCCCCGTGGGGGAGGAATTAGAGTGATGGGGACAGAGCAAACCAGGCGGGGAAAATTCCCACTTCAGAACGCAGGCAGCTAAGCTCCTTCCCCTGAAGGTGTGGGAGTTCTGAGGGTGGGGGTGGGGGGGACAGGACTGAAAGGGACCTCAGGTCCGCTCAGAGCCTAAATGTGGTGTGAGGAAACCTCTCTAGGGGCCTCTGGGGCAAGATGGGGACTTTGAGATAAGGGACATTTATTTTTCAGCAACCATGTGATGCCCAGAGATAATTGTCCAGTCAAAATTGGGAAGTATTGATTCTTAGGGAGCATCCTTTTTGTGTAACTGCTAGAAAAAGCGTGGACTTTGGTGTCTGAGATAAATGAATGCACATCTCCATTTCACCACCCAATGACTGTGAAGTCTGAGTGTATGCTGCTCCTCCCTGAGCCTCCAGAGTCCATGACACAGTGTTCAAAAAACCCTAGCACAGGACTGGACACATTGCAGATCCCAATTAAACTGAATTCCAGAATGTGTAAGATATGGAGAAAATGCTTTCCTCACCACTACTGCCTGGTTTCCCACTATTGGATAAGTTAGGGTCAGGAAACAGGCATGAGGAGCAGATTTATTCCAATCCTAGGAATAACTCTGCCCTTACTCTGGGGTGAGCTGAATTTCCTTTTGGGAGGTGGTACATCAGGCTTGCAGATAAAGTCCTCAGGTCTGCAAGCCCATCCTGTGTCCACACTGCCGGAAGAGTTCTTTAAAGGAACCTGTATCAGTCACTCTCTGCCACAATAATGCTGTGTAATAAACAGCCCCGGGACTCAGTGGCTTACCACAACAAGCATTTGTTTTTATTGCTCCCAAGTCTGCTGATCAGCTGGGGAAGCTCTCCTTTGGGCTGTGGACTGAGTGGGTTTGGCTCCAGGATCCAGGCCAGGCTCAAGTCTGGCCTATGTGGATACATTCTGGGTTCAGAATGCAGGGACAGCAGCTTCCCTATAGAAGTTCTTCTCATGGCAAATCACAGAAGGAATAAAGGACAAATCAGATCACACAAGTGTATCTGATGCTTCTGTATTGCACCTGCTAATATCCATTAGTCAGTGGGGCAGGGAGATATACTCCACCCCAAGCAAGAATGTAGGTGGAACGACTATTTGCTGGAAAATTATTGAATCTAATACAAGGCCCAAGAGTCAATAGGTTCAGTCTACCCAAGCACCTTGTCTTATAGCTAGTGAGATCAGGACCAGAGAAAAGATATTGCAGGGAGAAATGGAATCCTGAGCCCCAGTCTAATGCTCTCTTCACTATGCCCTTAATTCTCAGAGTCATTGCAGGACAACAGGGTGTTATAGTCACTGACATTAGTGTACCCTTTGGTTGTATTACAAAAAGTATGGTGTCGGGTGAAGAGGTGAGAGTTTTACTCTGTTCTTGAGTCTAGTGACATTGGAAGAGGGGCTGAACAAGCTGGAGTGTATTACAGATCAGGAGCAGGATGAGGAACTGGTAAGGGAACTGGGATGTGTAACTGAGAGAACAAAAACTCAGGGGAATATAGGGCTGCTATCTTCAGAACTTCTAAGCCTGAAGGAGCTCCAGGTTATTTGGGAGGGTAGAACTAAAACTTACTAGGGAAGGCTGATTTTGGTCAAACACGACATGAGAAGTTCTTACCCTGTAAGCAGCAGGAGCCTTCGGGCAAGGGAAAAGCCTCCTGGAAGGAGATGACAAGCTCCTGATTGCTAGGGGTGAGCAGAGGCAACTGGCTACCTCCGCTGCAGGGACACTCCAGGCTAGTCTGCCTCAGGCAGGGGGTTGAACAGGCCACTTGGGAGCTGCTCCCTTTAAAGTGGAGCATCTCACATGTTGTAAGACTAACTCCCAAGTACACAATCTGCACTGGCTGAGATCCTGAGAGGGTGATTCCCTAATTTGGCCTTATGAGGATGTGGAACCTGAGGTGGGAGGGGCTGGGACTTGAGGGATCTATCTTTTTCACCTTGGCAAAGTCATTCGTAGTGTGATTTCTCCTGGGTCAGGGCTCTTTGTTGGTACTTCTTTGTGGTGAGCCTCTCCCAAAGTCGGGACAGTTACTCCAATAAATCTCTCTATGAAAGGCCCGGCCTGGAAGGGCTGCTTCCTAGCAGCAGCAGAGCAGGGACTGAGCAGCAAGGTCTGTGGGGTGCAGCCCTGGTAAAAACTTGGCCAGTAGGGATGTCTTCTTCTGAGGCTGTGTCCATGGTACTCCCCTGGCTGAGAAGCAGCCTTTTCTCAGAGGCTTCTCCTGCCTTCCTTTTTTGAGCTTTTAGTAATCAATCTTCTCCTACTTTCCCTTGTTTTCTCTCCTGCTAGGGATTTGGAGGAGCGTTGGTTTATCTCCAAGTTATGTATTTTCCCACTTGCCAGCCTCCCTCCCTCTCCAATCCCTCTCCATGCTTCTGGTCTGTGACCTACCTATCTTCTAGAAGAGTAGCAGAAGCTGTGTGACCATGGGCCATCCACCTAACCTCTCTGAACCATAAGGGCTTCACCGGGCAAATGGTGCTGTCCATGCCCTCAGTGCCCTGCCTGCCACACAGTCATGGTGCTCAGACAGAATGTTCCAGCCTGCACTGCCCACTCTGACCTGAGCCCCTCTCACTGCTTCCCTGTAGGGACTGCATCATGCTCTGTTGCCTGAACAGTGGCACCAGCTTTGTGGCTGGCTTTGCCATCTTCTCGGTCCTGGGCTTCATGGCGTATGAGCAGGGGGTGCCTATTGCTGAAGTGGCAGAGTCAGGTAAGTGCTGAAGGTTGGGGAGGCTTCAGGTGATGGTTACAATGAAAATATCATTCTCTTCAGCTCAGTCTCCTGGGTCATATCTCAGGAGGTGGCCTCACCATCTCTCCTCAAACCAGGATTCTGGGAATTACCTGGGAGAGAAACATTGACACCTCCTCAATTCAGAATCCAAAGCATCCCCAAGTTGTGTAGATTCTGCCTCCTCAATGCTGCTCCATTTCATCTACTTTTCCCCAGCTCCACTGTCTCCCCACCAGCTCAGACCACCATCACCACTCCCCTGCATGACTGAAGGAACCTTTCACTGGCCTTCCTGTTCCACTCTGACTTCTCTGTTCCATGGCTACTCTTCAGAGTAATTTTTCTGAATCTGTCCTCTATGTAAAGCCTTTCTTGACTCCTCAAAGTGCTGAACTCTTAGCATGGCCTTAAGTTCCTACATTGCCCAATTCCTGTGGCCTCACCAGCCTCACCATCCACTCCATTCCCCCTGCTCACTGTGTCCCACTTCAATGGCCTGCTTTCACTTCTGTGACATAGCTCACTTCCTCCTACCCCAGAGCCTTTGCACATGCTGTTTCCACTCCTTGAAGAGCCTCTCTCTCCCTTTCCCTTTTCTAGATGCAGATTCATCATGAGTGTGACACTCTTAAGTATAGATGGATGTGTTTGCATCAAACACACTATAGGCAGGTGTATTGTTGCTGAGATGATTCTGCAAAATGGTAAATAATTCTGCCCTTGATTTACATGATCTTTGAATAATGAGAAAATTTAATATATATGAAAAAGTACAAAATAGTTTCTGTTTCCATGACAGATATAGATTCCAATCTCAGATAACTCTAAAATGGTTTTTCATCTACAAGAATGTCTGGTGGGACATTTGTCCAGAGCAGCATGCAGAACCTAGCCTCTCTGGCCTTCACCTACTTAGTGCCAGTCATGCCCAATTCATTGTGACAACTCCAAGAACCCCTGGGACCACACTGCCTCTGTCGAGAACCCAGGTCTGGAGTGTGGCTGTTTGAGTCTGGTGTGCATACCAAGCTGGGCAGGGTGCTGGGTGTGGACATCAGAGCAGGAAGCTGATTGCTGAGCTCTGCTCCATGATGTATGTCAGAAATAGAGACAGTCCCTGCTGAAATCGGCTCCAAGCTAGACCAGGTAATATTAATATGATCAAAGTTCTCAGTCATCGAGTGCCTGCTTTGGGCAGGAACTGTCCCTTGTGTTCCTTGGCTCAGCCCCTTGAGGTCGCACTTCTGCTACCCCCATTTTACAGATGGGGAAGCTAAGTTTCAGAGAGGTGAGGTCACTTACCCCAGGTTACCCAGGCCAGAAGAGAGAGTGCTGGGATTTAATCCAGGCCACCTGGCTCCAGAGCTCATGCTCTGACCATGACATCCTACTGCCCACTGTGGGTAGGTCACCTGGCACTTCACAAAACATCCACACTCCTTTCTCACATTAAACCATGGGGCAGCCCCATGAGGAGGGAACATTATCCTCTGTAAAATGAACATCCTAATTCCTGTTGAGTGAGCTAGGATCTCAAAAGCACTACCATAACTCTTTTTGTCATTACAGTTGACCCTTGAACATCAAGTGTTTGAACTGCTCAGGTCCACTTATATGTGGATTTATTTTCAATAAATATAGTCGGCCCTCTGTATCGCCGGGTTTCACATCAATGGATTTAGCCAACTACAGATTGAATACAGTAGTTTTTTAAAATTTATTTTTCAATTACAATTGATGTACATTATTAATTTCATGTGTGCAACCTAGTGATTAGACATTTATATAACTTATGAAGTGATCATTCCAATAAATCTGACACCATATGTAGTTATCATGATATTATTGACTATATTTCTTGTGTTGCACTTTACATTCTGGTGACTGCTTTAATAACTGGTGATTTGTACATCTTAATCCCTTTACCTTTTTCACACTGTCTCCCCCTCCTCAACCTGCCTCCCATCTGACAACCATCAGTTTGTTCTCTGTATCTATGAGTTTCCTTCTGCTTATTTCCCTTAGCATAATACTCTCTAGGTCCATCCATGTTGTCACAAATGACCATATACCTTTTTAAGTGCTCTCCATATTTTGCATCATCTCACTGACTTCTCAAGACCACCTCATTAGGTAGAATTTGGTTACCTCTATTTTTCAGCTGAGATATAACTCAGTAAAGAACAAGGATTTGAAGCCAGGCATCTGGCTGCAGAGCCTGTGCCCTTGACCACTGTGCTACAGGACTAGAACACTAGGTATCTCTCCCCTTACATTAATAAAGCTTAACTGAGGAGATGTAAACCAAGCCTTCTATTTGGAGCAGCCAAAAGAAGTGAATGTGAACTAGGAAAGAAACCCAAAGGAAGAGGCAGCCTGGGTGGAACAGCATTTGTCCAGGCCTGGACTCCTAACTACCTATATTGGAATCATCAGTGCCCTATCCCTGCCTTACCACAGACTGACCACATAGGAATCTCTGGGTTGGACTGAGAACCTGCATTTTAATAAGAACCCCTCTCTCCCTGGTGATAATAGTAGAGACAGGTCTGTGCAGAGGAAGGTCTGTGTGTCAGACCAACCTGGGTTTGAATCCTAACCCTTCCACACCCTGGCTTACCTCTCTATGCCTCTGCCAGCTCATCTGCAAAGTAGGCATCATAATAGTACCAACCACATGGGGTGGCTGGGAGATTTAAGTGATTTGAGTGAGAATTAGGCACAGTACCTGGCACCTGATGGATTAAAATAACAATTGAATGAGGGCTTGAACTCCACCCAGCGCCTTTCTCTCCTTGCTCTCCAGGCCCTGGCCTGGCCTTTATCGCTTACCCCAAGGCTGTCACCATGATGCCTCTCTCCCCACTGTGGGCCACCTTGTTCTTCATGATGCTCATCTTCCTGGGCCTGGACAGCCAGGTAAGGTGCTGAAGGGAGGGGGCAGCCCAGGCTGGGAGGGCAGGGAGTCTATGGGGCCTAGCCGCCCCCCTCCTGGTCCTGGTTATCAGGGCCCTGCGTACACCCCCAACCCGCTTTCCTACCAGCATACCCCCCACCCCCAGGTGGTCTCCATCATCACCCCCAAACAGCTGCTGCTTGGGTCCCTCCAAGTCTTCCCAAACACTGCTTTCCTTACTTGGAATTCCCAACTCCCAGTTCAGGTTTTTAAAACACTACTAAATACTTCCATTCTGGTAAATACTTCTTCCCAACAGCACCACCTGGCAAGGCAGAAGAAATTCTTAGAACATGGGCTATGGTTTGTGATACCCAACTAGCATGTGTCCCTGTCCTAACCAAATCACTGAGGACACAGAGACTTAGAAAAGCACCTTCTTTCTTCCTCTGCCTCTGTATTGAGGCTACCATGACCTCACCCAGGCAGCCACATGGGTCCTCAGTACCACCCCCAGCTCCCCATCCCCCCACATCTCGCCTGCCTGCCTCTGTTCTCAGTTCCTATAGGGCTGTCTCGGACCCACCCTCTGCTTGGCAGCCTGCCTTCCTCAGTGAAGGGCCTGTTAGAGCTAGCAATGTATCCTTTATCTTACACAAATGCACCACTTACATTCTCTCATGCTTTAACACGCCCCGCAGCCTGCCCTTCCAGTCCTCTCCCTGGTTTTTCAGCCAGAATCCTGTGGCCTTCAGTTTCTCTTCACTCCTAGAAACCTCCCCTTTGCCCTGCTGTCCCATTGCAGCTGGTTCCCCTGAGAGCCCCAGAGAATGTCCTCCAGCCAAAGCTGCGGCTGGGTTATCAGACTGGGGACTATTGGTGAGGTGCTGCCCATCACTCATGACCTTGTATGAGTCACTTAGCACAGGCCCTGTGGCTGGCATGTCTGTCAACCCAGCCAAGCCCAATTTCTTCCCCTGGATGGTTTCTCAGAAACTGCTAAGCCAAGCTGCTGAAGCACCAGGTGTTTCTGCTGATAATCTTCCCTCCATTGTTGTTCGTAATCTTCCCTTCCATTGTTGTGGTGAAGGCCTCCAAAGGTCTCAGCTTGTGTGTGTTAATGACAGGCCTGCCTGGGCACAGGGAAGTGGGGGGTGGGGCCTGGGGCCCGGACTCTGTGAGTCCCTGGGCTGAGCTGGGCCAGCAGTTGGGCTGAGATAACTGTTTGCCAGGGAGGCCCGGGGTTTTGGAATGGAGGGCAGATGGCTGCTCTGCTCACCCCCACAAATGCTGTACTTGCTTTGTGCCCGGGCTATGTCCTTAGCTCTTTGTCACAATAACCACACAGGCTGGGGGCTCCTCTTGTTACCCTCATTTTGCAGATGAAGAAACTGAGGCTCAGAGATGCCAAGTGACTAACAGGAACATGTACCCAGGTCTGTGTGCTTCTTAGTGCACATGCTCTGATGTCTCTCTAGATTCGATCCTGGACCAGCACAGCCAGCCTTACCGTAGAGGCGAGGCAGCTTGGAGGCTAGGAGCCTGGGCTATGGAGTCAGGGCTGGGTTTGAGTCCAAGCCCCACAACTCTTGCCAGCTGTGTGACTCTAGGCTGCTGCCCCTCTATGTGCTACAGTCCCTTTGCATCATGAGGATGCAAATACCTTTCCTGAGGAGGTAGAATGCATCATAAAGGATTTGAGAACAAGAAATGGCTCTGCTCGCCTCCCCACCCCCCACCCCGACCCAGAGACTCCTATGGTGGCAACATAGGGGCTGGGTACTGGTTTAGCCCTGATGGCCTCCATGCAGCAGAGCAAAGGCCACCAAAAGCGAAGGATAGAGGACTGTCACAGTCCTGTAGAATGAGTAAATCAAGTTCCACTCGCACACTGAGACTGATCAGAGCCTGCTGCCCACAGGGCACTCAGCTCTTAGGACTCCTGTCTTGCTTCCCAAGCAGGGGCTGGGTCTCATTTAAGTCACTGGCCCCAGAACAGGGCCCACAGCATATAGGCCCTTGACAGGCAGCATGGGGGAGAAAGAGTACTAGCTTTAGAATCAAGAGACCCCAGTTCAGATCCTCACTCTGCCACTTCCTTGCTGAGTGACCTTGGGTAGGTTACTTACCCTCTCTGAGCTTCAGCATCCTCATCTGTTACATGGGCATGCTGGAGTCCTGTAAGTGCTAGGATTGTTGCTGTTATTCCAGGGCCCTCTGTCCCTGTGAGTGAGTGTGGGCATGAAGGTAAGATAAGCCCAGTGGTGAGGAAGCCCAGTGGTTAGGCCTGCTGTGCTCGCCACAGCCAGGGCCACTAAAATGTCCTTTTTCTTGGGCTTTACACCGTTGTATCTACCCTGTCCAGTTTGTGTGTGTAGAAAGCCTTGTGACCGCCGTGGTGGACATGTACCCCAAGGTCTTCCGGAGGGGCTATCGGCGGGAGCTACTTATCCTGGCCCTGTCAATCGTCTCCTATTTTCTGGGCCTCGTGATGTTAACAGAGGTGAGTGATGTGGACAGGGTAAGCAACACGAACAGTGTAGCACAAGGGTGAAGTACCTGGGCTTTGGGTAGGCAGGTCCAAAGTCATATTTCAGTCTGAAACGGACTAGCTGTGTGACCCTGGCCAGGTCTAGTACCTTCTCTGTGACTCAGTTCTTTCATCTTCCCAATGGGGTGTTGTAAGAACCGCATGAAAGTTCTCATTAAGCCTCAGCACAATGTGTTGCATGTGTAAATGCTCAGCTAAAGGTCACTGCTGTCGTTACCAGAGGGGAAGAAAGCTCACAGGGGAATGTTGGGATTATCTGGTGTTCTGGATGCGCAGGCCACCCCTAACAGCCACTTGGGGTGAAGGGGACAGTGTCAGCTATGGAGACCTCAGCTATTTACTATTGTTTGGATAAAGTTCAAAGGCTTTTCTGAGCATCACTGAGAAGAGACACACGTGGTGATATTTGGCACCTTCAGGCACTATGTTCTGCTTCAGCCCTCCTGTGTACCCCTCTTCTTGTCTCTGAAGGGCCTGTGAGGAGGGGTTCATCATGACCTTAAAATTAAGACTGTTTTATAAAATCAAGTTTCTCTCCCCCTCCTGCAGCCATCTTGTCTAATAAATACTTTCTCAAGTTCCTTGGGAAAGGTACCTTTTTCTCTAAACTCAAAAAATTAATTTAAAAAGAAAGAAAGAAAAAAAAGAACTGTTGCTTAGAGACAAGAAGAGGTTTATAAGAAACATGGGAAGAAATGAGGGAACTCAGAGTCAGTCAAAGCAGCTGCTGTGATACTGAGGTCAGCCCATTGGATCTCCTAATCTTCTACATTTCAGCCAAATGCCGCTGCCTCCTGGAAGCCTCCTCTGCTTTCCTCCCTCATAGCACTTTGTTCCAAGCTCAGCCCAGCCTCCCTACTACTGTTACAATGACCCATCTGTTCACCTGTCTCCTCCACCAGACCCTGAGGTCTACAGAGACCTTGACTGGCTCTGTGTCCTCAAGGCCTGGCTGGGGTGGGGACTTGCTGTGAGGTGGCTGGTGTTATTACCATTCCTAGTCATTGTCACATTAATGGGAGTGATAATCAGTGTTTGAGCAAATGAATGGTGTGGCACTTCTCCTTTCCGTCTCACTTCTCCCCAGGCGGGGAATCCGGGGCTGCTGTGAACAGGGCCTCATTAAGTGCCGATTAATTACGAAAAGTAGAGTCTTTTGTCACACACAAATTGGGGGGTTAACCTGATGTGTTAAAGAGGCTGATGATGAGACTGCAAGAGCAGGCATTGGCATGGGCAGCACTGGCTTGAAGCAGGCAGGTGGAAGGTCCTTGTGGGCCTCTGGCCCTGGGTACCACCAGCTCTCAGAGCCTTCATACCCACCCTCCACCTGAGGCCTCAGGTCTGCCCAAGGGTGCCTTGCAGCCCCCAGGGCCCAGCAGGGAGCCAACACTTGGCTGCCAGAGACCATGACTTCATATGCCAACCTTCTGCCTCCATGGAGGGATATCTGTGCAATTGCACAGGGGAAGTTCAAATTGCCAAATGGGCCGTGTCGGCCTCGGCCTTCACAGTAATTGCTGGCAGGATCTTCTCCCTCATTTATAGGCATTTAAAGCTCAGCTCTAGGGAAAAAATAGGCCACAAATTTTTATGTTGCACTGAGGCAGTATAGTGGGTGGTTAAGGGCATGGCCACCTGGGTCCAATCCTCAGCCCATGGCTGGCTAGCTGGATGACCTTCAGCAAGTATGCTTACTGCTCTGTTCCTCAGTTTCCCCATATGAACATTGGGGATAGCAATAGTGCCTGCCTTGTAGGTCAGCTGAGTGTGCACCTCCTGGGTTTCCCACTGAACTTAATCATTTGTATATTATAAAACTGGCTCACGTCATTCCTATATCCTATAAAAATTGACCGCACATCTACTATGTGCCAAGTCCTGGGCCAAAATGGGGACAGAGCAGTAGACAAGCCAGTTAGAGTTCCTTTTCCATGGTCTCTCACTCTACACAATTCAGTTTGCATGTATAGGGGACCTGCTGTGAGCCAGGCTCTGTAATCAGGGTCATAAAGAGTACAGGCATGTGGGTCTTCTCAGCAGGAGTTCAGCACTAACCAAGCAGCTGAAAGAGAAATACTTTTTTAAATTCTAAGTTCATTAAAACAGGCTATGGAGGCCCAAAGAAATAATGAGGCTATCGGGGTGGGCTTCTTANATGGCTGGCTAGCTGGATGACCTTCAGCAAGTATGCTTACTGCTCTGTTCCTCAGTTTCCCCATATGAACATTGGGGATAGCAATAGTGCCTGCCTTGTAGGTCAGCTGAGTGTGCACCTCCTGGGTTTCCCACTGAACTTAATCATTTGTATATTATAAAACTGGCTCACGTCATTCCTATATCCTATAAAAATTGACCGCACATCTACTATGTGCCAAGTCCTGGGCCAAAATGGGGACAGAGCAGTAGACAAGCCAGTTAGAGTTCCTTTTCCATGGTCTCTCACTCTACACAATTCAGTTTGCATGTATAGGGGACCTGCTGTGAGCCAGGCTCTGTAATCAGGGTCATAAAGAGTACAGGCATGTGGGTCTTCTCAGCAGGAGTTCAGCACTAACCAAGCAGCTGAAAGAGAAATACTTTTTTAAATTCTAAGTTCATTAAAACAGGCTATGGAGGCCCAAAGAAATAATGAGGCTATCGGGGAGGAAGTAGCATTTGAGCTGGGCTTTGAAGGGACTTACAAGTGAAAGGGAACAACATGTGTAAGGGCACAGAGGTGAGACTGTTCCTCAGTCTGTCCAGGAGGGAGCATGTTGAGGGTGGCTGGTAGTAAGGAGTGATGAGGCCAAGTGAGGAGGGCGGTCCTGAATGGCAGGCTTAAGGAAGCCAACAGGTAATATTAAACTCTGGGTGATGTGGTTTTATTTGCATATTAGAAAGGTCCCTGTGAAAGCTGATATGCAGAAGGACAAGAGGGCGAGGCTGGGGTCGAGGCAGGGAAGCCAGAAGGGAGGCTGTTAGAGCCATCAGGGAGAGGTACTGAGGCTGCCCAGCCTCTAGTCTCTGGTTTCCTGTGTTGTTTCTGTCACTGAAGAACAAAGAAGAAAGACCATTTGATCCCAGCAATTCCCAGAGGCTGGTGTCTTAGGGGTGCCCAGGTGCAGAGGGTGCAATGTTCTAGGGATTAGGGGGAAGCAATCTGCCCTGGTGGAAGTCACTCTAGGCACAGGGAAGAGCAGAGGGCCCTCCCCAAGGCCAGCTGGCTGACCCTGCTCCCCCATGTGTCTGTCCATTTCTCTGTCCATGTGTCTGTCCTCCCACCCTGCAGGGTGGCATGTACATCTTCCAGCTCTTTGACTCCTATGCCGCCAGTGGGATGTGCCTTCTCTTTGTGGCCATCTTTGAGTGTGTCTGCATTGGCTGGGTGTATGGTGAGTAGAGGCCAAGCCCACCCGCACTGTAGTGGCCCGAATTGGTGCCCAGGACACAGGTACCCGGGGCAGGGGGGGGCTCAGGTTCTCTGTGGCCTGTCTCCATCAATGTCAACCTCATCCTCCTTCCTCTCAGAGACTCCATGGCCCTTCCCACTTGTCAGGATGCCTTCCTGCTTTTATGCTCCCACAGCACAGAGAGGGGTTTCAGGCTTAGGGACAATCCTTTTGCCCCTGAGACTTAGTTTTTCCATCTGCAAAATGGGGTCATCATCATTATGTTCCAAGTAGGAAATAATGTAGGCAAAGCAGGGAGCATAGTGCCTGGCCTTCAGTCAATACCTGCCTTATGGTCCTCCTGTTCTTGGCAGGAGTTGAGTCTGATGATGATAGACATTCCCACTGTGAACTTGGCTCAGAAATACATGCCCCTGAAGGCCACTCTGCTCATTAGCAGCCCAGCCAGACCCTGGCCTTCGTGGCCCTGAACCCCACGTCCATGCACGTCCACACCGGTGCCTCACCCTGCTTCTCCAGAGACCACTTTCCAGCTTTCTCCCACAAACTCCTCACCGTTTCCTGGGTCTCACTGCCCAAGGTCTACAGGGGCCCTCCCAGTATCAGACCAGAATCCCTCCTGTAGTTCATCCCAAAACCTCATTTAGGTGTGACATCTTGGTAGTTTTGAGCAGTGATGAATAAGGCCCCTGACACAATTTGTCTGCGTCCGGCTGGGGAAAGCAAACACTCCTAGCCTTCCCTCTGAGTCTTGTACACAGTTCTCAGGCGTGCACCTGTCTGTTTATTCTGGACAGGAAGCAACCGCTTCTATGATAACATCGAAGACATGATTGGCTACCGGCCATTGTCACTCATTAAATGGTGCTGGAAGGTCGTGACCCCCGGGATCTGTGCGGTAAGCACCCATCCACCCACCCACTTTTCCACTTCAGAGCCCCAGACTTGGCTGAGCTAGAACTGAGGAGGTGTTGTCGCCTGTGTGACCCTCTCTGCACTCAGAAAGTCCTAAGCACATGATACCTGGGTTGGAGTCCTGGGGACAATGTCTGAGCTTGTCAAGGGAGGGGCCTCCTGGGGATCCAAGGTCTGCCACCAGCTTGCTTGACTATAAGCAAGTCACCCCCCTTCTCAGAACCTCAGGCTCTATACTTGCAAACTGGGTGGCTGCGACCTGCCTTTGTGGGGGCTAAGGATCACTTGAGAGACATTTGGCTTTGTTGTTAACTGCAAAAGCAGCACAACTGAGGGTAAAGTTGGGCTCATACTCTACCCTCTGACCAGACCTTGGAGTCAGAGGCCTTAGTGACCTGATGATTAATAAAAGAACAACCCATTGCTCTTCACCCAGTTCTTGGCACTGGAAGTATCTCAAAGCATCTTCACAAACCGTTGTAGTTCTGAAAGTGAGCTTTAAACCAGTCCCAAGAAGTAGCTAGGAAAAATAAGAACTCCTGATTGGGTGGAGGCTGGGGATGAGGCTCCTGGGGGGGTAAGGTCCTGGAATCTGTGGGGGTCCATTCCCTGTGTGTCTGATGCTGATGAGAAGAGCCTCAAATTCTCTGTGGACCAGGGCAGAACCTTGCCTCTCTGAGGCTGTCACATCGGGTAGATCATCTCCACTCCTGGCCTCATGCACGCTGGCCCCAGGGACCTCTCCCCATCTCTCCACAGGGCATCTTCATCTTTTTTCTGGTCAAGTACAAGCCTCTCAAATATAATAACATCTACACCTACCCCGCCTGGGGCTATGGCATAGGCTGGCTTATGGCCCTGTCTTCCATGCTCTGCATCCCCCTTTGGATCTTCATCAAGATGTGGAAGACAGAGGGGACACTGCTTGAGGTGAGATGGGGTTATAGGGGTCGGCAAGGGTGGCCCTGAGAGGCCCAAGGGGCAGGGTGGGGCTTGGCTCTGTCTTGGACAGGCTGGTAAGCAGGTTTGAGTCTGTGGGCACCTCTCTGGGTCTCAGGTTCCTCATCTGGGCAATGAGTGCGATGAGAACAGGCCCCTGTGTGTCTCTCAGGGAAGCCATGGCCAGATCCTCCACGACAGGTGTTCATCATGACCACTATGTAGAGGTGTGTCTGTGAGGCCTCGGTTTTGGGCCTGCTTCTCTGAGCTCAGCCTCAGTTTCCTCATCTGTAAAATGGGAATAGCAGCAGTCCCTAACTTACAGAGGTTGTCATAAGGACCCAATTCCCAGGACAAAGGAAGAGGATCTGACATTTGGGGACTGACACCTATCCCATGTCATCACCCTGCTGTTTCCTCTACATACTGTATATCTGTTAGTCCTCAGAGCAGACCAGGGCGCTGCCATCATTTTCTGCATTTAAATCGGTAGAGAAACTGAAGCTCAGAGAAATTGGCACTCAACCAAAAATGAGTGTCTCACAGCCAAAAATTAGCAAACCAAAGTTTTTTATTGAGATGTAATTGACATACATTATATTAGTTTCCAGTGTACAAGATAATGGTTCAGTATTTATATATATTGTGAAATGATCACCACAATAAGTCTCATTAACATACATCACTACGCATAGTTACAGCATTTTTTCTTGTGATGAGAACTTTTAAGGTCTATTCTCATCAACTTTTTAATACACAGTGCAGTATTAGTTAACTATAGTCACCATGCTGTTCATCATATCCCCAGGACTTACCTATTTATTTGATAACTGGAAGTTTGTATCTTTTGACCCACTTCACCCATTTTGCCCACCCACTAATCTGTCCTCTATATTTGTGAACTCAAACTGTTTGTTTGTTTTGTTTTGTCTTTTAGATTCCACATATAAGCGAAATCATATAGTATTTGTCTTGCTCTGTCTGACTTATCTTAGTGTAATGCCCTCAAGGTCCATCCATGTTACAAATGGCAAGATTTCCTTTTTTATGGCTGAATAATATTCCTCTGTTTGTGTGTGTATGAGAGAGAGAGAATGAGAGGGAGAAAAGGAGAGAGAGATGTTTTCTTTCTTCATTCATCCATTTATGTACACTTAGCTTACTTAGGTTACTTCCATGTTTTAGCTTTTGTAAATAATGCTGTGATGAACATGGAGTGTATATATCTTTCTGAGCTAATGTTTTTCTTCATATAAATACCCAGAAGTGGAATTGCTGGATCATATAGTAGTTCTACTTCTAATTTTTCTGGAAACTCCATACTGTTTTCCATAGTGGAAGCCAAAAATTCTAAAACAATTGTATTGAAGTATGTTTATGATAAAATTCACCCATTTGGGGTGTGCAATTCAATTTTTTTTTTAGTAACTTTCAACATAGTGCATTTATCACCATGAATCAGTTTTAGAATGTTTTCATCCCCTTCTTAAGATCCTTCATGCCCCTTCACAACTAACCCTGTTCCCACCCCCAGACAACCACAAATCTTTCTATCTCCATGGATTTGCCTGTTCTGGATGCTTCCTCTCAATGGAATGGTACAGTGTGTGGTCTCTGGGTGGCAGATTGAATTATAACACAAGCCATCTTATTTCCAGAGCACTTGCTCTCTATTTACTCTCCTTTCCCACCTGCTGGTGGATCAGATGGTTTGAGTCAGTTTCTCGCTCATTTAGCAAACTGTTTGCAGCGTGCCAGACACTATTCTAAGCCATTTATAAACACTGAGCCATTTAATCCTCATAGCAATCCTGTGAGGTCTGGCTCTTATTGTCCCCATGTCACAGATGAGAAAGCTGAAGCACAGAGAAGTGAAGCAACTTACCCAAGGGCACAGAGCCTCTAAGTGGTGAAATAGAAACTCTGAAGCCTGTGCTCTCATCCTCTGAGCTTTATGGGCTCATTCCTCTGCTTGACTAGCCGCACTTCATTGCAGGGCCCTGTCTCTCCCCCAGTGCCACACCCCAGGGATCTGAGGGGTTGACCTTGGTCTCCTAGGACAAGGTCAGAAGGAGATGGGAGTATATGTGTATGTGCGCACAGACACCCAAATGAAATTGCTTGTTCAGAATCGGCTTCGCTTAGCCTGCTTGCTCACCAAGGGGCCTGGGCTCCAGAAAAAACTATGCATTTAACCAGAAGGTGCAAGGTTGCTTGTGCTCCCAGAGCAAGTCAGGCTCCTTGGCACCTGCAGGGAATGTAGGTCAAGGGCAGTTGGGTAATCCTGATTTGGGATCAAACATGTCCAGAGGAGAGTGGTCCTGCAGCCCTAACGCCTTGGCCACTGCAGGCCCCTGCCCAGCCTTACAGAGGTCTTTTGGTATTCAGAAATGCCAGTGTCTCCTGGAGAGTCCTCGGAGATTCTCTCAGGCCTGGCCTGGAGGG